TTCTTTCGGATCCCTTCTTCTTCTGAAGCACCTTCTAATGGACATGACAGTCCACAAAATGAGGGTCAGCTATAGACTGTACAATGTGTGTCAATTGTGATACTTAAAAAAGAGCCTGAATTTGTATTCCTTTTACTGAGTAGGCTTCTCTTGAGTCTCTAAAGAGTCTTGTTAATTTATCCTCTCAAAAGGTTTTAGATTTAGGTGTAATTTTAATGTATTACATAAACAGTACAGTCTGTAAATAAGATATTTAGTCAGAGTGAGTAGTCCCTGATATACCAAAGTCTTGGTTTTTTTGTTTGTTTTGCAGTTTTTGTGTGCATACTTTATTTTGTTTGAAGTAATAAACAGGTTGAGCGTTTCACAATTTCACAATAGATAGCAATCCGCTGTCTCACATCTAGGACAAAAGCCATGTACATGTTCTCACAGCCACTTCATATTGATCATTTTAATGCAAATCCTCTTTAAAAAAAATGTTTTCTTCTATAATCATTTTCAAGATTTTTTTTTGAAGCAATTGATTTGAAGTAAGTTTGAAAACCTACCAAATTTGTATGTTTTTTGTCACCGTTTTGTTTTCCTTTCATAAGTTTGATTCTATTTGTGTGATGTTAGTTAAATTGTGTACATAATTGCACTAGAGATTGGATACCAGGTAGTCTATCTATAACATGTCCAAGGTTTTTACTCACTGGTTTGAAGGTTGATACGTATTCCATGTAATCTATTGAGTAATGAGCATATAATGTTAATGCTGTTATTACAATGTGACCTAAATGCAGTCAAAAAACTGGTGTACTGAAAATAGAATGGTTATTAATGCTGACAAAACACACTGTATGGTTATAACCACAAAGCAGAAACATAGTAGAAATGATTGTCTTAGATCTGTCTTTAAACAATACAGAGCTTGACCAGGTACAATCTGCTAAACTGCTGAGTGTAAATATTGATAAGTGTTTATGCTGGGAAGATCATGTCAACTATGTATTAGGAAAAGTAAATAAAGGTTTGTGTCTGTTGAGAAGAATTAAGAAATACCTTCCGAGGAACGCTAGAATCAAATATTTTAATGCATGCGTTTTTCCCCACTGTCCATTGTTACAGGACAGGTTCAATGGTATACAAATGTGTCCATCATCTTGTTCTGGAATATTTATGTAGTTTGTTTAAGTCTGATATCCATACCAGATGTACAAGATCAAGCCATTGCAATATTTTACATATTCCTAAACATCGTACCAAGTTTTATGGCAATAATTTTGTAGTTGCAGGAAGCCAACTCTGGAACAGTTTGCCGAATGAGATAAGGACAGCAACACGTTTTGCCTCCTTTAAACATTCCCTCAGCAATCACCTCATGGAGCATGGATGAACAGATTTCATAATAAAATTCTCTAAAGAACTGTTTTAAGTCTATTCAATATTTTAGCAGATTACTATCCTGTTGTCTTACCTATAAAACTTTTAACCCATAATTAACTGTTTATCCTCCAGTGTATTTCTTTTGTCAACATTGTAAACACACATTTTTGTTTTGTTTTTTTTTTTTTTTTTGCTACACAATTATATATATGTATAAGGCTGGATCTGTTTAAATTGATTTATTATTATGTATGATATATATGCATCCTGTGATATTCCAATCCAAATTGTTATCTGTGATATCTTGCTTTCTTACTTCAGGTTTACTATGTATATACAATATGTAACTTTTAACTAACATATATATACTGTATTTTACAAACAAAAGGACCATATGGAAGATTAGCCGTTGGCTAAATATGTAATCCTCAGAAAATAAAGTTTATTATTATTATTATTTTACAACATATGCAAGTTTTGAAATAAAATTCTTGGCTCTGGAAAGAAATGCACCAAAGTCTAGGCCAATCTTATAAATCAGATTACACAAGTGATAATTATAACTTAATCGCGAAATCATCGTTTGAATGTCATTGATGCATATTTACATATATTAATCACTCATCACCGTTCATTGTAACATTGATTTCAATTATAAATGACAGTAGGAGGCACACACATCACATTGAGTATCAAATAGAAGTAGAATCTACATTAAATGGTTTGAGGAAATATTCACATACACATTGAAACTTATAAATTTTGATATTTATTTGATGGATGTATATATATTTATACAGATTCTTTGTAATATGTCCACAGGAAGCAAGGCATTTTGCTCCTCAATATAGACACATAATTATTTAATATTGACTTATTTAGCTAATGACAAAAATATTTTATGAGTGTATTTGTTTTAAATCAATAGATCAGGTATTCAAAATAAATAACAAAACACCAATGTTGACTTCCCATGTTTTTATTTTTGTTTTTGCTGTGGTACAATGAACAGAGTGAACTACACTGTTCTGGTATTAAACACAAGAGGCCCACAGAGCCTGTATCACTCACCTGGATCTTTATGACCAACAGTACTATATCTGTGATTATGTTTCACAGTATATGCTTAAAGCAATATGACAAATTACTCCATATGGGTTCTGTCCCTTAGTCAACCCCCTCGTCTGTGCAAAGTTGAATTGAGATTTTCTTATGTTTCCAGTTAAATATAATTGATAGCTTTCTTTAAAATCAAGGAAAGAAGATGGTCAAACAATATAGCAGAAAAACTCATAGTTATAGCTGGACGGATGACCCAGGACAGCAGAAGCTTACTTGCCCTTTAAATCATTGTTTACAAACACATACAACATATTTGAGACTTGCACAAGTCAACAATATATAGCAACAATTTAATAAAAAGGCATGTTTTCTGTTGGTAGGCTATATGTTTAGAAGAAGTAATGTATCGGGTCTCACAGGTTACACTTTGAGTCCAAATAGAGCGGGATTAATTTGTCTATTCTGTCCTATATACTATCATAAACATTCTGTTTATCTGCAGATTTGTGTAAAAGTAATAGTTTTATAGGGTGGGAGAGGGATGGGGTCTTGTTTGGTGTATAGTGGACCTATGTCAGTGAGGTGGGGTGGGGTCTTGTTTGGTGTATAGCGGGCCTATGTCAGTGAGATGAGGTGGGGGAGGGGTTGTGTCTTGTATGGTGTATAGTGGACCTATGTCAGTGAGATGGGAGAGGGGTGGGGTCTTGTTTGGTGTATAGTGGGCCTATGTCAGTGAGGTGGGGGAGGGGTGGTGTCTTGTATGGTCTATAGTGGGCCTATGTCAGTGAGGTGGTGGAGAGGTGAGGTCCGGTATGGTGTTAAGTGGACCTATGTCAGTGAGGTGAGGTGGAAGAGGGGTGGGGTCTTGTTTGGTGTATAGTGGACCTATGTCAGTGAGGTGAGGTGGGAGAGGGGTGGGGTCTTGTTTGGTGTATAGCGGACCTATGTCAGTGAGGTGAGGTGGGGGAGGGGTGGTGTCTTTTATGGTGTATAGTGGACATATATCAGTGAGGTGAGATGGGCGAGGGATGGTGTCTTGTACGGTGTATAGTGGACCTATGTCAGTAAGGTGGGGGAGGGGTGGTGTCTTGTATGGTTATAGTGGGCCTATGTCAGTGAGGTGAGGTGGGCGAGGGCAGTGGGGTCTTGTTTGGTGTATAGTGGACCTATGTCAGTGAGGTGAGGTGGGAGAGGGGTGGGGTCTTGTTTGGTGTATAGTGGACCTATGTCAGTGAGGTGAGGTGGGAGAGGGGTGGGGGTCTTGTTTGGTGTATAGCGGGCCTTTGTCAGTGAGGTGAGGTGGGAGAGGGGTGGGGTCTTGTTTGATGTATAGCGGGCCTTTGTCAGTGAGGTGAGGTGGGAGAGGGGTGGGGTCTTGTTTGGTGTATAGTGGGTCTATGTCAGTATCTTCTTGTGTATGTATGTTTATTAGACTTGTTTGGGATTTCAAGATACAAGAATCCATTTGTAAACTGTTTCTTTGATTATTATATCTAGGTCTAAACTAACTGTGACATGTTGATATTGATCTTGTTATGTACATAGTATTTATATAACTGCACTGTGTTATTGTTAATCTTATATCTGTGTTTGTCGCAAGAATAGCACTACAGTGCTAATGTTTATCCTGTTTGTAATATGAGACTATAAATAAAACTTCTTGACTCTTCAATTTTATTTCCCTTATCAGTATTTAAAGCATGATGTTTAGTCGTTCGTTATGGACAACTGTATTTTAATTTTTTTTAATTTCCCAATGTTCTGTGTTAAATTAACAGACCTGTTTTATCATTCAATGTTTATTTATCTCAGTTTGCCTTACCTACGTTTCAACCCCTTCAATTCTTACAGTGCATCTACAAGTTTCTTCATTGCACACTTTATAATGTTTTCCCAAACCTCTGTCCATCATCTAATAATACGATACTCATTCGAACCCCGCCTTTGGTTTGAATATTATCAACGAAGGTAAGCCTATGCCTTTTAAAAACACATCATGGAAAGGTTTAACGTAAAAATAATATTCTCGAGTGTTATCATTCAGACACAACGAAATAACTGAGTAAAAAAAAAACAAAAGGACAAAACAACGATGCTTACGAAACAAGTTGTATTAAGACAAAACAATAATTAAATAAATAAACAGATAAGAACAGAATCGTCCTGTCCGACAGGAGCTTTCCATTTCCCGTACTAAATCTATCAATAAATTCTCTGTACTGTTGGCTTCACATCATATATTAGGATATGTAACTTAACTATAACCACCCACTGGTGTAATTCTACCATTCGAGACAATTTAGTGTTTTAGGTTTATCATTTGTATGCGTGTAAATAACTACTCAAACAAATAAATATCATTTTAGCACATATGCGTTTGAAGTTAATTTGATATGTTTGCCATTTGATGAATCGTGTCTTCAATTATCCACCATTGTTAAACAGCGGTTAATCACGGAGTAGACAGTATATCCGAAAATCTCATGAAACACTCGGGTGACTCACCTAAATAAGTCTTTCTTCAGACTCCAGAAGTACCCGAGTGAAAAATGAAATTCTCTTGAACATTACAACAACTCTTGGTACTCAAATACACGGATACTTCCGTCCTCATTGCCGACCCAAATGTGCCCAGCATTGTCCACGGCAACCCCCAGGGGACGCCTTATCCCATCATCTTCATTAAGCAAATACTTTTGAAAGACACCACTTTCGTTGAGAACATGTATTTTGTCATTGAAACGATCAGATATGAAGATATTGTCGTGTTGATCAACACATAGTCCCCAGGGTTCAAATCGCTCCCTACGTCCCTCATCTTCGCCGCTTCCCTCTCCCTTGTAAGAGGATTTCACATGACCATTTGGCGTGACGAAAATGACAGCGCTATCTTTGCCCCTGTCGGTCACACAAACTGTACCAGTACTTGTGACTGCAAGACGGTCTGGATGACAAAAAATCGGTCTGCCATTGTCTTGTATGATCTCGTTTTCCACATCTCCCGTATCATTTGTCAAAATGGACACCCGGTGTCTACTGGAATCCTTGCATGTGACATAGAACTTCTCACAAAAGTAACAAATGCCACGGACAGTGTCATCGATGGTAGTAAAGGTTGTCACAGCGTTGTCAATGCCAATTTTCCAGATAGCACACCCTCTAAGTTCTGTAACATAGAGATTGCCATTTGGATAACAACATATATCGTTTGCTTCCCCTGGAAGTTTGAGGAACTGTCGGATTGCACCATGCTTGGAATAGAGCTGTATAGTCTCTGAGGTGTCGTGGATAACCCAAGCTTCATCATCAGACACCGGACATATCGAGTAGGGCCGACCTGGGCAATAAAATGTCGGAACTTTCTTGTCACCTGGAGTAAACTTGAGGATTGGCAAGACTGTCAAATGTGTCTCGCCCAGTAATTCTGCATGTGGAATGGAATTCGGCTCAAAACTTGTCTGGGCGCTTTCTAAAGAACATGCGGGTATCTCCGTGGGAACGGACTCCAAACGCGCGCTGATGTCATGATTTGCTTGCAGTAACAGACTGTCAGGTGCCAGATCAAATATCTGATCCGACATCACCGCGAGAGTTTTTATTGAAAGGTAAACTCGCTCCATTTCTGCGCGGAATCTTTCGATAGATGACAGATATTGGTTTAGAATTTCATCAACACCTTCTATCTTTCTTGCACACGATGCATCGATTTCTTTTTTTAGGGTTTCGGCTGTGTCCATGATGTGTTGTTTTGTCTTGTCCGTATCTTTTCTTAGTTTTTCTGATTCTTTGTCAGCCTTTTTCATATTATTTTTTATGTAGGGTAAGTATGACCGTACACCGTCTGCCAGTCTTGACAATTCCTCTTTCCTTACCTTGGCGGTCATTGTCACATCCTCTAACTTATGGTCCAGATGACTCTCTTTACACTGCATGCATAAAAGTGCATTGCATGGCTTACAGACAAAACACATTTCCTCATTCGCATGTTCTGGACACGTGCATTGTCGCAAGAGAGATTCACTGAGGACCTTCTCGTGCTCTGCCAGGAGGACAAGCTTGTGTAATTTGGTAGCCTTCATTTTCTGGTGGACATTTTTACACGATAAACACATGTTTTCGTCACAGTCGACACACCTGACCACCGCCCCGGCCCCAGTGTCACACTGCTGACACGGATTCTTAGAGGCGTGCATGGCGTCGTACACTAGTACATACAGATTGTCTTTCAAGCCGGAGACGCCATCTTGAGGAATGTCAGTAGGCACCAAACACAAAGGACAAGGAAATGACCATGGTTCATCCGTGGTGGATTTTCTCTTAATGTACTCCTGAAGGCACTTGGAACAGAAAGTGTGGTAACATGGAAGCAACTTTGGATTACGTAGGGTTCCAGAACACATGCCACAGCGTAAGGGATTTACATGTTTTAGTTGAAAAGCGTCCCTTTTCCTGGTCTCTTCTTTCAGGCCTGATTTCCCAAGTTGTCCGGCCTGTTGGAAAGATTGGGATGTTTTTGTAAAACGTCGTTTCATCATTTTAACGGTGATTTTCGGGCACGGAACGTTGAGACATATTTCCTCTGGCTATCGATTAATAGTGCTTCACATATTTGTCAATGTACTGCCTGTATTTATCAGCAATACACAGTTAAAATTATTCCGTCGACGAAAATGTTGAAACATCGCATGATATCAAGAAATTGGAGTATTCATGACATCAAAATCAAACGGAATCACGTGTGTCCATCGTTGATGATGCATAAAACTGCGCCCCTGTATAAATTTAGTACTTTAAACTATGAACATTCGTGGTAAAACTCCCGATTCGACTTCCTTCCAGACTTATACAACTTTAAACAGGGTGTGTATCTCGCGATATGATGATAGCTGCCGGGTGCTATACATACATAATATATCTACACTGAGGTATCAAATACACGTGTATCAGCACTCAATATCGATACATATAAGGGTTGGTATATACCGCGGCACGTCTGATGACAGGCTCGATAAAAGGCTGATTCGACAAATGGACCAGCAATAAGATATTAAGAATCACTGACCCAGTCATTCAGACGAAGTCCATTGTAACCTTTGTCGGGAATAAAGGGCATGTCACCGGAGACAAAAGATACCAACGCTACAGCTATTGGTAATGCATTATTCGAGCTGACAGATAATTAAGTACGTTGCATTTATACCAGTAGAAACAAATCTCAAGAAATATAAGAAGACTGGTAATCAAGGAAGCGAGACAGGTGTATATATATAACAGACATTGGTGCAGATGACCCCGCCCACAAGGACAGGTACAGCGTACCGGTCCTCCAAAAATACTTGTTCTTTACAACGTCCGTCTGTCATCGGCAATATTAATTAAATTCTTTTAAATAACTTAACCTTCGCCTTCAATTGCGTTCATGGTCAAGTATTGAAAAAGTATCTTAATTGTAAAACAATACCAATATCTAAGTCTGATAAAAAGCGGGTTTTGATTAAAGAGAGAATCGTAGTGAATGTAGAAAAAAAATCGTTTTGAATTAAGATCTGGTTTAAAGTGAATATTGTATTTAATTAAGACCTGGTTTAAAGAGAATATCGTATTGAATTAAGACCTGGTTTAAAGAGAATATTGTATGCGTTAAGACCTGGTTTAAAGAGAATATTGTATGCGTTAAGACCTGGTTTAAAGAGAATATCATATTGAATTAAGACCTGGTTTAAAGAGAATATTGTATGCGTTAAGACCTGGTTTAAAGAGAATATTGTATGCGTTAAGACCTGGTTTAAAGAGAATATTGTATTGAATTAAGATCTGGTTTAAAGAGAATATTGTATTGAATTAAGATCTGGTTTAAAGAGAATATCGTATTGAATTAAGACCTGGTTGAAAGAGAATATCGTATTGAATTAAGACCTGGTTTAAAGAGAATATTGTATGCGTTAAGACCTGGTTTAAAGAGAATATTGTATGCGTTAAGACCTGGTTTAAAGAGAATATTGTATTGAATTAAGATCTGGTTTAAAGAGAATATTGTATTGTATTGAATTAAGATCTGGTTTAAAGAGAATATCGTATTGAATTAAGACCTGGTTTAAAGAGAATATTGTATGCGTTAAGACCTGGTTTAAGTTTAAGTTCAACAATTTACGGCCTTTGCATCGCTGACGAGTCCTAGACGGGCGAAACAACTGTATAATGTAGTATCACTGACGAGTCCTAGACGGACGAAACAGCTGCATGATGTAGTATCACTGACGAGTCCTAGACGGGCGAAACATCTGTATGATGTAGTATCACTGACGAGTCCTAGACGGGCGAAACATCTGTATGATGTAGTATCACTGACGAGTCCTAGACGGGCGAAACAGCGGTATGATGTAGTATCACTGACGAGTCCTAGACGAGCGAAACAGCGGTATGATGTAGCATCACTGACGAGTCCTAGACGGGCGAAACATCTGTATGATGTAGCATCACTGACGAGTCCTAGACGGGCGAAACATCTGCATGATGTAGTATCACTGACGAGTCCTAGACGGGGGAAACAGCGGTATGATGTAGCATCACTGACGAGTCCTAGACGGCCGAAACATCTGTATGATGTAGTATCACTGACGAGTCCTAGAAGGACGAAACATCTGTATGATGTAGTATCACTGACGAGTCCTAGACGGGTGAAACATCTGTATGATGTAGTCGCTGACGAGTCCAAGACGGGCGAAACATCTGTATGATGGAGTCCTAGAAGGACGAAACATCTGTATGATGTAGTATCACTGACGAGTCCTAGAAGGACGAAACATCTGTATGATGTAGTATCACTGACGAGTCCTAGACGGGCGAAACATCTGTATGATGTAGTCGCTGACGAGTCCTAGACGGGCGAAACATCTGTATGATGGAGTCCTAGAAGGACGAAACATCTGTATGATGTAGTATCACTGACGAGTCCTAGAAGGACGAAACATCTGTATGATGTAGTATCACTGACGAGTCCTAGACGGGCGAAACATCTGTATGATATAGTGTAATTCATTATTTTGCAGTTTTCTGGAGACGACCCAGAACTGGCCAGGTTTATGCATGTAGTATGGAATGAGTTGGTGTTAATCTCCTTTTGGCATATAGCTATAAGGTCTTCAGTATGAAATGCAAGAAAGCATTTGAAACCTGTTTCATATGGTTTTCAAGCACGGAAATGATGTTAAACTAGGCATCAGTTTGTGAATACATGTACACTGTTCCGTCCTTTCGCATCAGTGATAACCAAAGGGAATCTGTCTATTCATTTGTGACCAGTCGGATTAATGCCCTGACATATGACAGTGACGGAAAATGTGTCTCTCTTACACCCCCCACTCAAACTGGAGCCGGATCCGGGATATTGTCTGATCGGGTATTACAAGGAGAGCTTATGGATTTAACATTACGACTTGAGGAGGCCGATGGTTTAAAATTGAGAACGGAGCACAGGAGCGTCTCTAGTTAATTAACTATTTGATATATGATTTGGGGACCAGTATACACGTAAATATATAACGAACATGTACATCGTTATTAGTTTCCATGCATCGTATGAGTACAATAATAGTAAAGAATTCCGTTATAATATTTTACAATCATGTGTACATGTATATCCAACTGTTTTATGGCATCACAACTGTACACGTATGGAAACTTTATTTGTTGTAAGTTTCGAGTGAACTTTGTTTAAGTAACTACTTGTCTTACTGAGCCAGTTTCTATCTGTCCTTTAGGAGGCTCTTAATACAGGTCTGAGCCAGTTAATAATGAATTGCTCATATAGGCACGCCTCTGTGTTTAACCTAATCTAACATACATGTTAAGAAAACGAAGTGTACTTACACAGAACGTTTGTTATCTTTATATAACATGTATGTGAACAGAGATTGCTGAAGTAGACCTACTTATAGATACTTCAGGAATAAGAGTCTAGTACCTGCACTTACACCATATTTGGTAATAGGGATATTGAAATATAAAGCTGTAGATTGGCAAGATCAGAAAGAAATTAAAATGCACAATGTCCATAGAATGTAATGACCAGCATTCCATTGTTGAATAATGACCAGCACTCCATTGTTGAATAATGACCAGCATTCCATTGTTGAATAATGACCAGCGCTCCATTGTTGAATAATGACCAGCGCTCCATTGTTGAATAATGACCAGCATTCCAAGAATTCCTGTTGAATAATGACCAGCGCTCCATTGTTGAATAATGACCAGCACTCCATTGTTGAATAATGACCAGCGCTCCATTGTTGAATAATGACCAGCATTCCATTTTTGAATAATGACCAGAATTCCTTTGTTGAATAATGACCAGCGCTCCATTTTTGAATAATGACCAGCACTCCATTGTTGAATAATGACCAGCACTCCATTTTTGAATAATGACCAGCGCTCCATTGTTGAATAATGACCAGCACTCCATTGTTGAATAATGACCAGCACTCCATTGTTGAATAATGACCAGCATTCCTTTGTTGAATAATGACCAGCATTCCATTTTTGAATAATGACCAGCACTCCATTGTTGAATAATGACCAGCATTCCTTTGTTGAATAATGACCAGCACTCCATTGTTGAATAATGACCAGCATTCCTTTGTTGAATAATGACCAGCATTCCATTGTTGTATAATGACCAGCATTCCTTTGTTGAATAATGACCAGCATTCCATTGTTGAATGCTTTCATTCTTGATGTGCTGCTGTTCCCCTCTGCTTTCCTGATAAAATTGCAACAAAAGTGATAGCTTGTTTCTATGTTCAATGCTTTCCTCATTCTCTCCTTTATAATAAGTTTTCCAGTGTTGATTTTGACCAAGATGTACATTTTTCATTGAAAACCCTTAATCCATAGTCCTTAAAACGCCTCTTAAGTATTCTACCTTTGATGTTCCTAACTATTTCATCATCAATTGAAAATGGGTGTTGCCCAAGTCAAATAGTAGACTGAAATGATAATTTTCCAGCAAATCATAAAATGTATTTAAGTAAGTATATTTTATTAAAATGACAAAAGTTCCTGTGATAAATACTGTTTGATCATTTCTTGCACATTCTCGCAACCAACCAGCGATCATGTTGCATGGACTATCCAAAAGGTGATTGTAAATAGAGCAAAACCATGTCCCTCAACACATACATATAATCCTCAAGTATAATGGTTTATAGCAACTGTGACTAGTTCAAAGTATAATGGTGTATAGCAACTGTGACTAGTTCAAAGTATAATGGTGTATAGCAACTGTGACTAGTTCAGAGTATAATGGTGTATAGCAACTGTGACTAGTTCAAAGTATAATGGTGTATAGCAACTGTGACTAGTTCAGAGTATATTGAATGGTGTATAGCAACTGTGACTAGTT